GTCAGATTTACTGTGCTTGGAAATTCAATGAAGTAAACTCGGCGAATATGTACATTCAAACCAGTATATAAGTACTGTTCTATTTTTAACCAGCAAATGAGGCGGTTGGAGAAGTGAAGAGATCGTTATATTATTTTAACGAATAACAAGGAGGAATGTGAACAATATTTAAAACATAGAAACCTATTATTTGATCAACGGAACGAAATATTACAAAGCGAGCAAGTATGTTTCTTAAAGCGATAAAGACAGGATGTAGAAAAAGTAGATAAGCAAAAAATTAACCTCCACTCTTTGTACTGTCCATAACAAAGAGACGATCGTGTTACGCAAATTGTATTATCGTTATTTAAATTAGAAATACGGTAAGCGTAAGGAAAAGACATAAAGTATAATGTGTGTTAGCCCACAGTGGTATCAATAATCGATGAGTCAATCAGTCGATTGGCATCAATCGGTCTTTACAAATGTATACATATATACGCAAATGTCCAATATAGTGAACGCCTTGTATCGTAAAAGGTTAAAGCAGTATGTATCGTTTCTTATACTTTTTATTCTGTTTTCATCGATACTGCAGTAATAAATTAACGAACTCTTGCTCGTCAGAAAAGTTCAGTATAATCAGGAAGCATTCAATTAAGGTAAGACAAAGAACTTGGGATAAAAACTTTGTCGATGCTTCGGTTCCTACCAACCCGTAAGCAGTAACAAATGGCCAATTAATTTTCTGATAAGTCTGGTTTTTGCCAAGCATCAAACAAATTAACTCGAGCTTTATTATTATCCGGATTGGAAAATGGAGAGGCCTGCAGAACTACGTATGTACGAAAGATTTGAAGACAGACTAACATTATTGAATCGATACCTTGCCAAACATTTGTACATCCGTAAATGGAAATAAATGTTTGCACGGCAAACACCTGTCCGCGCATATGTATTTGCACGTATTTACGAATGTGACAACAGTACGTCAATAAGAGTCCGTAAATTCGATTCCCGTGCTACCTGGATCGCAAATGTTTCGCGTAATCTTTTTCTACTTATTTTCGTGGCACGTCTCGTGCACTCGTACAACGTCTATTCGCATAGAAACGTTACGGTATACGTTACCGCGGAAATACGATCGCGATAGTAAGATGAAGCAAGTTTACTATCGTTCGCGGGCTTACTATCAGAGTCAACAACAGAATGCGATATATCTATTTTACACTTTATCTATTTATCGCTACACGCCACGCTGTGAAAGATAGTTTTCGCATCCGAGAAACTGAAACCTTGATTGAGAACTATTTTTTCCCCCCCAAGGTTTCAAGTAATACTTTTCTTCAAAGAACATATCGATTTTGAAACAAAGTTAACCCGACGACGGGAAAACGAGGTCACAAATCCGGAGTATAAATTTAATGAAATAGTTTCTGGAGAGATTCAACGAGCGTCTGCATTTCAAAAGTAGGAATTCCATTTAATACATATTTTCGTCTAGAAACCCACTGTTCCGTGGAATACGTAAACGAACGAGACAAGGAATGAACTAGAACAGACATTTAAATACAGAATATATGAATAATTCATTTCCAACGATAGCACAGTCTCTAAACTAGGAACTAATATTGTGTAGAGAAAGAAATGGAAAGTGCTAAGAAAATTAAATTCCTTTATGGCGTGGTCGTTCTTGCTTGAATCAGACTGAGAAAATGAGGATGAAAAAATGGAAGGAAACGTGGAAACGGTATTATTGGAGATGCATTTTACGCAACGTTGGTTTACTGAATAGCAAAACAAGGGGAAGAAATTTTCAACAAACGGCCAGGAATACACCCGAGAATCCAATGAAGAAAGTAACTTCTTTACGAGGTCGAGGGATGGTATTTTCACTGATATTTCTGCAAAGGGAGCGTTCCTTTATCTCCCTCGAACTTGCAGAAGCGTCAGCATATAGAGAGAACAGGTCAGCCTGAGTTCCTGACATTTTCCCGGTAAACTAAATTAGGTCACCTCGTAAATCCTGAGAAATACAGGTCAAAGTAGGTTCTTGGGGTATTAGGTAGGGTGCAGGGGATGCACGATAGAAGTGCAGCGTGGACAATTAACACAATTGCCATTAATCGCGTGGAATCCTATTTACTTGCATTCATAATTTCCCTGCTAAACGGTGAAACGTTTAAGCTCGCGTCCCAGAAGGAAGATTAGGTAAACAATTAAACGCGCTTCATCAACTGCAAATGCAAAATAATTTCTGTACATTAATATCGCACGAATTAACACCAGAACTATCGAAGGTGATCAAAATGATTTGTAATTTCCAATAAAAATTCTACAAAATTCACTCGACTGGATCTTTGCAAATTTACCGTGGTTTTCTATAAGAGTTTTAATCACTTTGGTATAATAGTAGTTTTAGCGCTAACCTCGAGGAGAATACCAAAATCTGATATCGTCTTTGCCTTTCTCAAATCGTGACGTAATCTCGTAGAAACCTCGGGCTCGTTCGAAGCTAAGGAATAAAGATATCAATGTCCATTAGGTTGAAAAGACTATTCGCTGGTGGGTTTGATAAATGCAAAAGTACAGTTTAGCGTGCAATCAACGGCCGTGTACTTAAAGAAGGTGTTAAACGGCCGTTTCGCCGGGAAGCGTAATGCACTTCTGAACATTACGGTAGCTTTAATGAAGAAGAACGGTGCACAGCGTTTCCCCTCTGACGTATCTGCAGCTGAATAAGAGTGCAGCCGTCAAAGGAAAATTGCTCACACAAATCAGAATAAAAGCACGTGGTACACGGACCCCGGTGACACGAGCCACCTTCAGAAACACACGGTCCGCCCAACCTCGCCGCGTTCAGCAGGGCGTGGCCTTCAGGATCGATACCATAAAAAGCTCACTGCACGTCCACGTACCGTAATAAAGTGCGCAACTTTGCGTACGTACGGTCATTAAACGTTTCAGCAAGTTTCATGCAAATTTCCTACGCCTACCGTGGCCGCGGCACCCGGCTACACCCTTTCGCGCACACTCTGGCAACTTCGAAGACGCAACGGATAGAAACACTCGACCTGTTGGAAATTACTGCTTGTTAGTAACTTGTTTTGGACCTAGTTTCGTCGCACTCGATAATATATGAACTTTCGCGTTCATTCATGCGCATGGCTCCTTTATTATTTATGACTGGGATCGCATTGATCTTCAAGAATCTAATATACACTGACATTCTCTAGAAAGATGATCGAAAGCTCGAATATAATCCCATTAAATATACTCAACGACAAAAATTACATTGCAAACATAATTTAAAACTTTTGATGAAATTATAGTTTCTAATTTAAAAAGGGAAAACATTTTGTCCTTTTTTTCTTCATGGGTATCGATACGAATAATATATTTCTTTTTCTTTTAGTTTTCTCTGCTTACACTTACTATATACACTGACATTCTTTAGGAAGACTATTAAATATATGAAACGACATCAGTTACATTGCAAGCATAATTTAATAATTTAAATAATTTTATGCTTCTTTTGAATCATAAAAATAATTTGTCTTCTCTATTAATTTTTAAATGCATCTGCAAGAAGAGAACGAACCTTGTTTTCGCCATGGATATCGATTATAAATAATATATTTCTTTTTCTTCTAGTTTTCTGCATTTACACTTATTATATTCTTTCAAGACTTCACCTCTTTTTATAGTATCAATAAAAATGCTGTAGCAAATCCATGATATTACAGAGTGATGTTTCTTCGAAGATCCTGTCTGTGCGAATTCGGTTCAAATGCTCCATTAATTGCACAAATAAAATTAGAAAGTTCAATTCAATCAACAAATGTGTTTCGTTTTCGAAATGTTTCACGGTTTCTTAAATGCGAATGTTTGTAATTACATATCAAGAGAAAAAAAGAAATTGTGAAAATGTACTCTCTAAAGATTTGTAATAAGTTTTTTTTTTATAGAGAACCGAGGTTAGTACTTGATACTTCTTCGAGCGCCAGGCATTAGAAATTTTAATTAGCAGAAGCCTCGAGCGCGATATAACCATCGTGCACACGATGTTTCGAGAAAATGAAATTCTAATTAAAGAGAACGTCATGCTCAAATGGAACTGTAGCTCTAATAAATACTACGAATGGCAGGGAAAAAACAGGAAACTTATTCGGGAAATATTTGCACGACACTTTAAAAGAAAGGAGAATTTGCAACAGCATCTATTCAAACTCGCTGAAAGCACCAGCTTGGCACATTTTATATTCCGCTGTTGATGTAGCGAATATTTGATGATACTTCGCTTGTAGTCTGAATGAAAAGAAAATATGCAGGGAGTAACGCCTTCTGCTTGGGTGATTCTTTTCACCATCAGGTTTTACTTTCTTCAGAGATCCTGCGTTAGAAATGCGGTGCATTTTGTATACTTAATTAAATTACTTTCGTCCATTTCTGTTAATTGAACGTTATCTGAATTGGAGTAACGATTAAAAAGCGAGTCACATATTGCTGGATAAGTAGGTAGTATCGTGCCAACATAAACTTCAACAAAGCATTCTCTGAAAAGGATATTAACTGACCATACAAAATATGCATACGCGCGTGGTGAAAACGTTTATCGATTTAGCGTAAATTAACTGCCATGCTCTTTTCTGCAAGAACCCCGTTAAAACTAACGTTCAGTTTTTTTGTCTACTAATTAATGTTCTTTCTTATCGGGAACATACGTTCGCTTAATGACTTCACCGTATCCTAGAACAAGCTGGCGCCTTTTCATATTAAAAATTGTTTTCTTACCGACTTAAAGGAAGAACTATAATTTTTAAAAGATGTACCAGTTTCGTTCAATAATTTTTACAAAGTGATTGTCGCACTTCTGATCCTAAATATTCAGAGAAGACTAACGAAATAAACTTGGTCCGAGAGGCATTGGAAATTTATTTGTTCACGCACGAGTAATGGCCGCGTGAATCGATTCGTAACGATTTGTGTTATTAAAAAGTTTTTTTCCCCATACGCAGCACGATGCCCTCAGATAGTATGGACGACATCGAGTTGAAAAATATTCAACTCCAATTTCCCGCTCTAAGATATTTGACGAGAGATGACAATTCCGTGCGGGAGGAGAGGGTGGAAACTGACAAAGGATATCTGGTGGTGGGTGTACAGGGAAACCGGTCGAAACCTGCCATACTTACTTATCACGACTTAGGCCTTAACTGTGAGTAATTATCCACGTTCCATTAGTACCGTAAATGTTAAAAATTCGAAAAATTTACTGTCGCGACGATTCAATCGACTATCTAAATTGTCCACTTAACGGAAACGTGTTGCTAATCGTTCCCAGATATACCGAGCTTCCAGGCATTCTTCAATTACATCGATATGCGAGTGTTACTCGAAAACTTTTGCGTTTATCACGTGAACGCACCAGGTCAAGAGGACGGTGCATCAACGCTACCCGAAGAGTGAGTATACTTCATTTTCTCCTCGATGAACAAAGCAATTTATTTGATAAAATTTCTCAGAAATATTGTTTCCAATTCTACTTATCGATATTTAATTTTAATTAAATATTCGCCCAAAAACTTTACAAAGTAAATTGTTGAAGAATTCAAACAAGGAAAAGAAATATTACTATCGATTAAGAACGTAGTTAAAAATTGATCGAGAAATATTGAATTCCTTTTACAACGAATTCGATTTCACGACAAATAATTTTTCATATGAGCTTCGTCTAGTGCATGGAATTAAACGCGTTCGTAGAAAACGTCACAAAAGTCATTTGTGGTTCGATAGTCGACCGGTTCTAGTACACCCCTTAATCCCAGTAACGAGTTCGCTAATTAACGCGCGAATACGGTAAAAACCGATTTAACCAAAGATCCCATACGTACGTGTATATCGAGGTCTCGTTCAAGAGTATGGTGCACGCGTGACACTTGACGGCAGCGAATTCAATTAGTGCGAATCAATGACCCAATTAACGTTCTAATTAGTCGAAGCCCCAGCGATGTCCCGCTTTCGCGTTTGCCATGGATAATTCCGCGCGTCTTAAAAGAGATTTTTTCTTTGCTGCGCTTTGCCTCTATCGCCGTTTGCATTTCAACGGATTCGATCTTATCGGCCGTTGCGCAATCCGCCTCTCCGATATTCAATCTATCATGAAATCAGGAAACAGCGTTGCCCAATATCGTTGCAAACGTTTCCTATCCGTTTCCAAAACCGTGAATCACGCATCCTAAAGAAAACCGAACTACTTGAGATCGTACTTTCGGAATTTTCTGTTCAAACTTTAGTCAACCGCGTTGTCGAATTAATTTCCATAGAACGTAAAACGGTAAGTAAAAATGCCTTGACGTAATAGTTGGGGTTCGTTTACGCCGTTGAATTAGAAGATTGACCGTGCCTACCTACGACATCCGATTAAGCTGACCTCAAACAATCGAGGTTCACCTCGACGGACGCATACGTACCTAAACAGCGTGTTACAGAATAATTTAGACTGCATTGCAGATTTTCATGCACCGAGCATACGAAACCATTTTCGCTCGCGTGCCAAATCCGTAAAATTTCATGACGTGTACGTATTCGAATATATTAGCGTCGGTGGATAATGTCAGCGATGCTTCGGCTTTTCGCTGCGCGTCGATATCGAACACCGTTTATAGAATTCAACAGTTACGGAGACCGGTTACTCAAAATTCATTTTTGAAGCTAGAAAAACAATCGGGAACGTTCGTAACTCGAAATCCGTAACGAGAGAAATTTAATTGGAACATTTATCGACGTATTAGTGTGAAATCGATTGTGGCGTGCATTTGTTACGTACGACCCGGCACACACACGTGAAAGCGTAAATTCCTGTATAATCACGGCAGAAATTTATTTCGTTCGTCGATAAATACACGGTAATTAGCTAATTAGAGAAACGTATCGTGTCGCCGATTGGAGTCGAAATCGAGTCGATCGAGTTTCCCAACGATCGATTACGAGAATGTTTAATTTCCTATACCGCTATCCGATACTTTAAAGCACAGAGGAATCAATACACTGCTAACTGTTAATGCAATACCGAGACGATCGCAAGCTATGGGTACCGCTTAGGTGATTAGTATTCACGATCGATAAATTACTACGAAGGCGAAACCAGCGTTATATCGATGCACTGTATTCCAGTTACGTTTATCCGTCCATGGACGAACTGGCAGAGCAGCTGCTCTTCGTCTTGGGCCACTTTGGCCTGAAGTCCGTAATCGGTTTTGGAGTCGGCGCTGGAGCTAACATACTAGCCAGATTCGCGCTCGCTCATCCCGAGAACGTGAACGCTCTTTGCTTGATAAACTGCGTATCGACGCAGGCAGGTTGGATCGAGTGGGCTTATCAGAAGATGAACGTTCGTCACCTGAGATCGCAGGGCATGACTCAGGGCGTGCTGGACTACCTAATGTGGCATCACTTTGGCAGGGTGAGAACATAATTAACACGTACACACGCGCCGTGTAACTATACAGAGAACGTTGGATTAAACTCGGGATAAACTGAAACGAAGAACAAATATTTCGATAGCTATTTAGTCGATTGGATGTACAGTTAATAATCCAGGTCATCGTAATGGGCTGAATCGATTAAGAAGATACACTTGGTCCTAATTTATATTCAAAAGTAGTTTCGTGTATAAGGAAATAGGCAATAGCCCCGATGGCCTATAAAGTTTTACCGAGTTAGGTTAGTTAGGCAACGTTGACACGGAAACGTAGGCCAATAAATTATCGACTACAGTGCCCGACGAAGGCGTACGCCGTCCGGGTGTACGGTTCTGTGCAGCCTGGAAAATTGGATTTAGAGTATTAGCAGCAATTATGTGGCTCTTATTATGCAACACGTAGATTCGTAACAGCGTTACCGCCCGTGGAAAAATAGATGCTGCCAGGCTCGCGGTGTAAACATTGTTCGTCACGGGGGGAGAATAAAAACGTCAGTAACATCGAAAAGTCAAATAAGATCCTTCGAGTCGACCCTTTTTCTGGGCCTGGCTTTCTTTTCTTGCTGTTCGTTAACCTTTTGCCGGCCACGGGACTAATGATAGGTTCCGACGGTTGTTTTTACCCGCGCCTCTTGCTCGAACAAACTGAAGCGTGAAGCAGAAGTTGCCTCGAGTGTCTGGAATTTTTCGATCAAGGATAGAGTTTCACCGAGCAAAGAAACGTTGGTTATAACGCGTACAGTTATAGTTCGCTGTTTGGCGTCTAAAAATAACACGATGAAACTTTAAAAATGTTGCGTTGGAATCGAGAAGAAAACGCTAATTGGGAAACATGTTTCAGGGCACGGAGGACAGAAACCACGACCTCGTTCAGGTGTACAAAAACTACTTCGAGCGTCACGTGAATCCAACGAACCTGGCGCTATTAATCGACAGCTACGTCCGCCGTACCGATCTCAATATCACGAGGGAATTAGACCCGATACGTAAAAAGGAAGGTGTTACGCTCGGCGTGCCTGTCATGAACATCACCGGAGCTCTTAGCCCGCATGTCGACGACACCGTGACGTTAAACGGAAGATTAGATCCGACGAACAGCTCGTGGATGAAGGTACGAAGCGTTTCGCAACATTAATCGGTCCTACCTCGAGCATCCATGCATTCGTAACTACGTGGAACAACCCGATCCAGTACCGTGCGCATTACTAACGCTACGTTAATTCGTAACTAACGAACTGCGAGTTAACGATCGCCTCGGTGCGTTCGGTTCGGTTCTGATGGCGGAGGCGTAAACGTTTTGTAAATACGAGTGTAAAGTCACTTAGCTTGATCCATCTGTACGCTGGCATCTTCTCGCGAACGCACAGCACCTTATAAGACGTATAAATAATCTTTCTCAAGATTGAAGGTAGTTGAAAAATGTATGAGCCAATTATAGATGAAACGTAAATGGTCGTTCAAAGTCATTTTTATGAATCACGTCCGACATAAACCTACTTTAACTCGTATCTATAAAAGACGTGGCTCTGTCAGTTTGTACGAAAAAACTACTAAAAGTGAGGATATTTTTTTATAATCTTTTTTGACAAACTTTAAAATAGAATGAATTACTAAAAGGATGACTCGATCGGTTTAATTTTCAGATTTCTGATTGCGGAATGGTTCTGGAGGAGCAACCGGGCAAAGTAAGCGAGGCCTTTCGACTGTTTCTGCAGGGCGAAGGATATGGTAAGTGAGCGCCCCGACGATCTACACTTTAGATATTAATTATCGGATCGTCAAATGATTATTCCCATCGACCGTCACCGGTATAAACGAATCGCGCACGCGCCATACTGTTTCGTAGAAGAGCACGCGAACCGTCGAGCGGCGAGAAAGAATACATGCGGTTTTAAATGTTCGTTGGACTTGATCGAATCGTTGACTGTCTGGCGGTGAAATGTTAAAAATTTATATTTTTTGCCGTTCCAAAGTGTAATTAACTCGTTGATGTTGCGAATAATTTATTGGAAAAAGTAATTGACTGTTAACGGTGTTTGGAAGACGTTTACGTGCTCTTTTACGCGACGACACGAATAAACGAAACGCAATTGTCGTAGATCGTGAATATTTGTAGACTTAAGTTCCTTCTATCGATTGCTGCGTTTTAAAGGTATCAGTATTTTTGGCCTATAAAGTTGAATCGACGCCACGTAACGTGTTATAATACGAAACGACAGAATCGTTCACGGCTACCGATCGAATTTGATTTTTCATCGCGACGTTCCCGGACCAGTCGGACTGCGAATCGATAACGAAATCACGCTTGTAAATTAAGTCACTTCGACCATTTTGCCTTTGACCTCGCTAGATACTCGGTTTAAGCTGCATTATCTATATTAAGTAAACGTTGTTTCTCCCTATCGAATAGAAGCAAATCGAACTGCAAACATATTCCGTTGATGTAGGCGTCATTTCTCGTACAGCCATGTTCGAAGTAACTTAACATCCGCCAGTTATTATTTATTCTTTATACCCTAAATGTTCTTACCGCTTCATGAACGACCATACGATCGAGCATAGTGGTATAGTTCCACTGACTACTTAACGCTAGTCTCGCGACTAATTGAAGTTTATTATTCTTTTTGGCTTTTTGGTCACAGAAACACGATAGCACTTATCACATAACACAACGCTTTAACAACTATCGCCCAGCTGATATACATGACGGTGTATTTATCGCGCGAATAGAGTACTTCGTCGATGATAAAACGCCTCACCTTTTTCTCCCAACTATTGCTGACCTCGACTTTTTCCCTCCACCGACACGCATAAGACAATGAATTTATTATTTATCTCACGTGGTAGGTATCTGCGATTATTAGCCAAGTACGCCCAAGTTGTTCTAATTAAATTAATTGTTCCTATCGTGGTAACTATCGTTAATTAATTGTTGTTGTTACAATCGTCTCTGTTATACGAATAGAGTTTTCATGTTGTACGAATGGCGCGATGCCAAGATGTTGTTAATCCTCGTTGCACTAAGGAATGTCTGCGTACAAAGCTGTTTACTTTTTCAAAAATCGAACTTTTACAACGATAGGCATTGGCAGATCCGATTGATTTACATGATACATTCGCGCTCGTCCTTGCTACAATTGAGATTTAACAACATCTTCGATCATGTACTTTCCTTCATTGGAAAGCCACTGGCTCGACTTGATAAATAAAAAGAGGTTTGAAAAAGGATTACGTTGAATTCATCACTTTAAGTCTCACCACCATTGCCATTTATTTGAGAGCTTTTTTTTTTTACTAACGATTATCAAAGACAAATAAGAAAATACGAAATACATGTTCACCGACTTGCGCCTTTATTTCCCACGCGTCTCGGATCGATCGAGTGGTACGTATATACATTACTATTAGTCTTCGATTGAAGTAGTCAGTAAATAGTTTTTGGCTTCTTCGCTACTTTGTTTGCTTATCAGTTACTGTCAATGCTAAGAATCACGCTACCGTTGAAATAGTTTAGACAGAGGTCTCGAACTAAACGTAAAGTTTCCTCGTAAGTGGTTAGAAGAATTTATGATTTTCGCTTTCGCTGTCGATACGTTACGATATTAACATTTGCGAACTAAGATCGACAGCGAAAGCGTTCACGACTCGTGTCCATTTTGACGAAAGTAACGAACGATCTCGCGTTTCGTTATTTGGAAGACGATGAAACATGGACGACAGTCGGAATCCAATCGTTGCTTGATCTTTCTTTGAATTTACTGATACACGACAATTGGCCTAAGCGATGCATCGCACCAGACTGATTCTCGATGAGAGACGCGTTAACAGAACATTCGCTACGACCTTAAGGCGTTGTGTTTCGAGTCTTTAAAGAGAATTTCTTTTCTTTATGCGTTTTAGTGGTGAAATCCCCGCGGAAGCCCGTGACGCCGACAACACCCGAAGGTAATTGTAATTAGGAATTGAAGGCCGCAAGGAGTCAAGCGCGCAGTTGGTCAGTTAGGCCACGTCTATGTGTTAAGTAAGTCGGAATTCAAACTCTTACCGGGAGATACTAACCGACGATGGTGTATCACGACTAACATGTTTTGGACAACATCGGGCATATTCTCTCAAGGATTATCGAAAGGCAACTAACCATTGTTCCTTTTAACATTCCTAACTCTTTCGGACTGCGGATGTCGTGGGTCTATCCCTTCGGACATACTAAATTCTCGTATACTTCATAAAATCTTTTTATAAGCCTTAAAACTATCATCCCTCTCGCTGTTGCTTTTATTTCACTAAAATTAATCTTTGCATCGAGAGACGTTAAACCGCTAACAAACACCATTAGATTACTGTATGCACCGAAGTACTGATTTTAAAAAAAATTCGAACATCTAGTGTGTATCACGTGCAGCGAGAGGATCAATCATTTCCTCAAAACCGTTTTTGTCACGTTCATACATTCACTTCACTAATATTTCTTTCGATGAATTTCTCGTTAACATCACTCACATTTATTGATTAGGATTGCACATTTCTGGTAAATGTTTATCGACCGAGTTCCTCCATATTCTGTTCTTATCGGTAGCTGGTATGAAATAGCGTTATCAATCAACGATAAATCAGAAATCCTTCTCGGAACGCGAAACAGATAAGACTTTCGATCTTTTCGATATTTTTGAAACACGTAGGACGTTCAAATACAAAACTGTTTAATGTGGTTTTTTTTTGTAGCAGCATTTACTCATGATGGGACATTGACAGATAATATTTACAGAAAAATAATGCAGTGCAAGAAAGCCTCGCACGTTGTACTGGGCAGTAGAATAGCAAACAACAAATTGCGCTGATTCACATGCCTTGCACATGAAACAATTTCACCAACACACATAACTCTACCGTTCACTTTGCATGCGCGCCTTTCTTTGTCTTCTCGATTTATCGTTTATTTTTTTTTTTTTTTAATTTTTTTACCCTTCGTTCGATAATCGAGCTAAATGTCTACTGTTCTGCGTTCTTGTATGTTCCTACTTTCCGATACAAACAAGATTCTCAATGAACCTAACATACACGTGGGTACGCTCGCAATTAACAACCGTTAGAGTGAGATTGAAGAATGCAATTCGATATTCCAGTCGCTCTGACCTATTATTTTCTTTTATCTTTCTTTACAGTGGCACCGCTCTCACCACTGAAAATGGCTGACTACAGACTGGCTTCCCTCGAAGAGCTGAACCATCTTTGCATTAAGAAACTCGACCGGCCCACCGCGACTATACACATCACCGAGAATCCCATATCGGAGGCGGTCGTTTGCTAAATTCTCGTTTATAAATTTCACCATTGCCATTTGATTGTTCTCGAACGACTTAAAAACGCAAGAACTAAATGCACCACTCGAGTCGAACGTTGGTTTTCTCCAAGGTTTCGTCGGGGCAACGATCGACGTGGCACTAACATTTTAATTTCTTTCTCAAACTAGCATTCGCGTTTAATTTTAATTTACACGTTAACATTACTTCTATCGAATCGTTCTGACATTTCTTTTTATTTATGATAACCGTTAAGACCTTCGGAAGAGATATTCATTCCTTTAAAGGTACGATATTCTTTCGTAGCAATTAGTTTAGTAAGTTTCTTTTTTTTTTCTTTTACATTAAGGATGCATCGAGAGTTCTTAACCATTTCTTTCCATGTACAAGAAGCGTTTTATCGATTGGATAACGTTCGATCGAGACCGAAATATCTTTTACGAGACTTTTAAACGTTGAGTAAAATTTTCATAACACGGATTCACTTTTAAAACTAAACGTAAAACCTTTTTGCGATAACTTGACAATTTTTACAGTTGTTATCTATGGGATCTTTGTTCAGCGGAACAGCGTATTTTTTTAAAGTTTCAACGAACATACAAACCACCGTCGCCGACGGACGTTTTAATAACAAAATTCGAGATTAGGGACGTGCAATTACAAATTGTCTTCGACGCGTCGAAAATCCGACAAACAAAACCATCGCATTCATCGATACGCGCGGTTCTGATTATCGTGCTGAACGTCAGAGACAACGAAAATCATGATTTTACATAAACGCGACTTTTACAAAAAACACAAAGGGAAAAAAAAGAACGGTCTGTGACGTACCTATACATTAAACGGAAAGGAGGCCGAGGATCTCGACCTCGAACGCAACGCGAAACGAATTTGTTCTTGGATGATATCAACCACATGGCCTGGTGATCGAACTGTTCGATCGAGGATTCTAAACGAATATTAGTAACGAAGAGAAAAAAAAAAAAAACGGTGTTTGCGACGAGACGAACAATGTTTGGCGGCACTGCATCGTAGAGAAGCACGCACTAATGCTTTCCGTGTTCATAAGAGAAACGAAAAAAAATGAAAAAAACGAATAGTAGGTGCAATTTTAGGGGGTTACGTTCGTGAAAAGACGTCCGCGACTTCGAGCAACGAATCACGACGATCGCGCGATGTCTTTTCGCAAAGAATTATCGAACTCGTCCACCAAGATTCCCCGAGGATCAACGGGTCTCGAATTTATCGAATTCGTGGGCCCGACCTTTGCTCGCGATTAATCGATGAATCGACGAGGCACGTTACACGGCGATGACCGGACACAAAACGTAGACGCAACAGCAAGATAACAAGGTAGGTATCGGCATTAGATGCGTCAAAGTATCTTCGATGACTTCGCTTGTTCGTTATCCGCAGAAGTTTAACGGTGAATGCAAAAAAAAAAGAAAAAAAAAAGCCTAATGCAGCCGGCTGCGACGAGCAGCCATCCGTGTTCTCTCGATAAGAAACTTCTCGTAGGCCTGCACGTGTGATATGTGCTTCGCGTTAACAGGAGAGGGGGTGGTGGAACTCGTTCGGGGATAATCGCGCGTTACCAAGTCCTCGAACGAGCCAAGTCCCCTGTGAAACGTTTCTTCCTCCAGCAACGGGAAGGAACGCTGGTTCATTTGTTTGCGCTCGCGCACCGTTCGCACCCTTTCCTTAGTTCGAGGCGTTTAGAAATAATTAGAGGAGAGAATACGTGCGTGCGAACCTGTGGGGAGGAGAAAAAGGAGAAACGAATGTATGAGAGCATGCGTCTGCGAGAATAACGTAGGAACGAGGGTACGTAGATAGTCGTTAAAAGAAACGAAGAACGCAAAGATTGTGGAGTATCTCGGTCCCGTACCTCAATACTATTCTACCGGGCTTCTTAAAGCCTTTAGCGTGATATGATAAGACGTGCCTGCTACATGATGTCGTACGTAGCTTTCGAAAATTTCACCGCCTTTAGTTTTCTATACGATTCCCGTACGTCCTGGATTCTCCCTCTTTTCGCGCGTCCTTTAGAACGAAGCGTGCAATACGCTACATTCATGGTAATAATCGCCACTAAATTCCAACCGAGAACTTCTGCGGGACAGAAACGCGCGACGAAAATTGCTCACCTGCGCCCATTTGTTCCACAATTTTGTCCGTGATATTTTTTTCCAAAACCACGACTCCAACGTTCCGATCGGAGAGCCGTCGAATTTATTTGAAGCTACGCGTGACGGTAAAATTTTTGGCAAACGTAGTACGGCATTTACAACCATCAATGGCGTGTACTGTGCACGTCGCGAGAAGACGATATCCTTTTTCGGTCAATGGACAAACAAGAACAATAATAACGATAGCCGATCGAAGGGAAAAAGGAGATGCGCGAAAACACGACGAAAGTCAAGCCGAAGGACGTATCGCGGGACGAAGGATTAATCGTTTCATGTAAAAGAGAGTTTATAAAAGAGCGAATATATTATAGATGTATACCTATGACGCGTTATTTAGACAATGGCGAATTGAGACAGACGTAGTCGACAGCTTAGTATTAGAAATTTGAGGCCCGATTCCGGAGGATTGAAGGGATGCACGCATTAATCATTGCTAACGCGAGCGCTATACGAGCAATGTAGCTTTTAAGGACCACCGACACACCCACCATTAACCCCTTCGTTTCCACGTCGCTCTTGGTACCGCATTATAGAAACATTCAAGAACGGATTAGATCCACAACTTCAAATCCCGCACGATTTTCCCATTAATTATATTTGATTAAACATATCGTGGCGAAGTGTGATACCAGTATATGTATATTGTATAACCGTTAAACGATCTAATCGTGATCTCTAATCTTTCATTGAAGATTTTTCACGGGGACGCATATCATTAATGCTAATTTACAAATTATGTATGTTATAATTGTTGTGAAATTAAAAATTATTGAGGTTCGATCCGCGAGTTATCGGCGTCTACGATTTAATTGAGATGCTAACGGTGATTGAATGTCTATATAAAGCTCGAACGGGGTGAGAAACCGACGTCGTTATTGGTTACGAAGGGTTTAAACAAAAAAAAAATTCATTTGCACACGATCGATCACTAAATCGGTATCAAACGCCACTACAATCTCGCGGGAGGATAACGATTTTTCCTGGAGGTGCTACGTGAAGTTTTTGCCTCGGAAACAGATTTCCAATTCCTCGCGCTGTAACGTCAAATAGATTGTAGCGGAAATATATTATTGACAACAACTCAAAGTAAACAAGGTATAGTACAGTAAGCGAAATAAACTTAGACGGAGCTTGAGTATATATATAAATATACAGGTTAAACAACACGTGCGCACCGAATATACATCTTGTTATTTATAATAAACGAATATAAAAAAAAAAAACAAGAAACATGTTGCAGAGTTCATCCCCCCTGTTATCCTTGTCCAAGGTAATCTTTCTCTGTTGCGTATAAACAATCCAGGTTAAATGAAAAGCTTCAATTTTAATTTTAATAAATTTCACATGTTGGAAAAATTACTGTTTATTTATGGTCATTATTTTAGCTCTGTTTGCATCCAAGTAAAGAGATACAAATTTGAAACAATTTTATACTTTTTCGTAAAATATGATTTTATTATTCCAAAAATTTAGAAAAAGATTATTTGCAAAATACACCTCCTCCTGAACGATCGTAAAAATCTTCTTACAATCGCATTGACGCAATATAAAATCAAACATTTATGAAAGATATCTTTCGTTAACGAGAAGAACGTAAACAAATATTCTTAGTGTATACATATACCGATTGCTAGTGTCGCGTGGTTTCAACAATAAATAAATTTCGTTTGAGTCTCTGGTGTTAAAAAAAACTGCCTAAAGAACTCGCGTTTCATGTATCCTGGATCCCATCTGGAATCCACCGCGTCAGAAAGATCTGGTTTAACGATTTAAAACAAGGAAAAAAGGATACCGTAAAAGAAATTTACCAGCAAGATATATACGTACATTTTTTAAGGAATCGAGTCTTATTAACACTTGCGAAAAATTATTAATGATGCAACCATCGAGAATCCAGTTGCTTAATTTAAAAGGATTTTATTACACAATAAAATACAAAACGATACCGTGTTGAAGTCATAAAAACTTTACGAACGATCATTTAAATTAAATCTCCATATTGCTAGCCTTCAGGAACATGAGCTTCGTATAATCATTCAAATAATACATTAATTTTGCATTTGGAAAGACAACAGTATATAATTTAGGAACTTGACAAAAATCACATAGTGACACTTTTTTTCTGAAAGTTAATTTCTTTGATCATTCTGTAGGGCCATATATGCTATGCCATTTTGAATTTGGTATTTTCAATTCCGAATTCGTAATCAGAGACCCCAAAAACCCTTGAGTAATATTTTTACGCAATTCCCGTCTGCCATATTGAATCCACCATTTTGGATTTTACATTTTCAACACCGAATTCGTAATCATCGACCCCAAAACCCACAAACAATAAGTTTCACAGCAATATGTCAAAAAGAAAAGTTCAATATTCTGTTATAGTTATTAATATTCAGTTAAATATTATAGATTGATAAAAATATTAATTTATTATATGTTTCTTACTGTGGAATATTTTAGCTCTTCTGGGCGGCCCAGACAGCTGCTTCGAAAAAGTACTACGCGTTAAAACTAACACACACAATGCACGACAAACTAGAAAAGGGCTAAACAGACAACACATGCAAGACTTCAACAGTATTCTTAAGATGTGTTCAAGCGTGTGTGACATTAGAATAATTTATATTATGATTTTCATGTTTCCTCTTTTCGCCGCTGTGCGCAGCCCTACCGACTCGAGTTCCCTCCGAGAGGCGCAGTAGCACGTACGCACGTACAAGTAAGTGCGTGCCACAGCGACGAGAAACCAGTCTCACGTCGATTTTTGCGACGATGGAACGACTACTGTCTTCAAGGAATCGACAGGGCCGTATATGCCCACATGTCTTACCAACTTGGGCGGACAACGACCGTTCGAACGATATGTTTAAACGTTAATCGACAATATACCACTTCCCAATAATTTCGAATCGTTTCGCGATTTTTCGAAACTGCGACATTCCCCGGCACAGAACCAACGTTCAACAAGTTTGTACGATGTTATTGCGTACTCACGTGTGCGATTCCCAGAAACGTCGACAGCATCGCCCGTCGTAACGTTGTCTTCTTAATTTTCAGTCACATACTCAAAAAATTGATGTTCATACTTGTACCGAACACTTTCTTCGGAGCCGCTTGCCGCTTCGTTGACCATCGGCGGCGCTCGTAAGTGCTCGTCGGGCCCACTGCAACCGCCACCTGTCGCCGTCGAACGAAATCACGACTCGTCTTTGACAAGGCGCGCGTATTCTTGACTCGGCCAGCGTGGGAGTAAGGCTGTCCACGAGAGACGCCTGGGAAGGTGGTCGATCAATCGCCTTCTTAAGTTTACTTCAACATTTTACGTTCGTAGCCGTCAGTACTATCGAACGATCGACCGATAACCGTAGTACAAACCGCGAGTGAGTTATTCGAGTTCGGATCAACGGGATCTCGGTGTTTCTGTCACGGAATTAAAAAGAATCATCGTGCTCGCCGTGGAACCGGCATCGTCGCGAAACAAATTACAGTGAAAACGGAACCACAACACGCGTACGCGTTCGGTGGATACTATACGCGTTTCGTTTCCCCGTGATCGTTGCTTGACACTAAAATAAAAATCAACGGAACTGAAAGTGCATTGTGATACGATGTAGACTTTGACTCTTCTTGAGTGGATTGACACAAAGACCTGCCGGGGTGATACCGGTGAAATTTTAAACGTCCGATCGTGATAAGGGAACGTGCTACGAGTCGGTGACGCTTCGTTCTCGATGCGAAACTTGGTACCGTTGCAGTTGTAAGGGCGTTTAAAAATTCGGAGTGTTATTTAGTGCGCTATTATTCAGTGTGCGGTGTCAGTGTAGTAGATATGCGTCGATCTGTATTGTGAAGGTGCCTGAGGAATTCTTCCTGGATCGAAAGGCCCTGGATAAAAGATGGGGCCAGCCAAGATTGTTGGGGTTTACGTTCTCTTCGTGGTGGCGTACGTCCTTAACGCAGACGTCATCGAAGAAAGAGGTGAGTGTTTTGTTCAGTTCTCTTCGTTCCAAGGAAATTATACCGAATCCCGGGGACTGCTATTCCAAACTATTCTACAAATATGATATCCCGTGCTAATCGAAGAGCATCGAATGCTTGCACGCGAAATAGCTGCGCGTATTATTTATAGCACACGTGACCAATATTTATGGTTACCAAATTAGCGTCATGCATAGTCTATTATTCAGGAAACTACGCTCGAATAAATATTCGACTCCGTTATTTTAGTTTCTTGCGATAAAGCCTTTCTATTTATTGCGCGTAATTTGTCCGCGGTTCTGCAATTAAATTATCTGTTTTGAACGAAAGATAAAAGTTTGAGGCGATACAAATAGATCATTTTCTTATGCAACGCGAATTTATTTCCAAGTACGAAACGAATGTTGCAATAATAATGGTACCAATGTTGTTTTCAACTCTCAATTAATTGTTGGTGTAATCGTTTGGCGTACAGTATATTTTTTTTGTACATTTATTCGTACAAGTTTCGTTCCTCTGTATGTTTCATCTGGAGTCGCCTTATCGAAGTTAAAACAAGGAATTCGCTATCTCGCTTGAAACAATAAGCAGACACTATTACCTTGCAGATAAGCAAACGAAAAGTCGCGTGAACGTGATTATTTTCCTTTGGTTCCCGGTTGAAAGTAAAATGAGAATTTCTCGACAATGATTCAACCGATGCTTCGTCGCGCAAACGCACTGTAATAAATGTTGAAAGAATTTAATGGTGTGGATCACAAATTCTTTAACTTTTCGTCACATGGCCGCTGTGTACACGGCAAGTTAAATATATCTTGTTAAATGGCTAATTAGGCCTTAATAAGATCGGTTCACCCAGAGCGCTCGGGCAAGAATGAGGCCAATGGTACAACGCGTCTCGTTGGAACTTTTGTTGAATCTATCAAACGCACTGTCAGGTGTATTTTCAATCTTTCTTACTGGAACGATCAATTTGCACGTGACAAACGAGCACGCTATGGTTAATTAACAGAGACTCGATACATCGAACGCGGATGAATAATGTGTCGCGAGTTCGCTTACGTAGCTCATGATTAGATTTGAAATTTACGATAACGCTATCGTTCGTCTTGTACGTTCAGTATTTATTATTTTATGTTATTGGGACGATGGATCGTCGATGTTAATCTCGCGGACGATCCGATTTCTTGCGATCGTATCGAACGAACTTATTATCGAAAGAGATCCTTCTGGCAACGATGACGCGCAATTACAGCGTACGACGAAAGAACAGCTTGCAGGGCTTCTAAAAGGGAGGTACCAAATATGGGAGGGAAACTGCAGAATCAAAGATCATGAGCCGATTCTTCATTGAATTCTTCGGTGGAGTATCGGTCGGCTGAAAAAGCCGCAGCAACCTGCGGAAGAGGCAAGAACGCGTTCCCTCGCGTTCTTGACGCAACGTCTCTTCTCTTTTCTCTCTTTAGTATGCCGAGGAAAGACATAGAGGAGCGGTAGCCAGCCGACCGTGAAGTCGAGACTCGAATCGAACGCTACAATTTCGCGGCGGGTATGTTACGACCGGGAACCAGAAATATGTAACCGATCTTCGACGATCGACGATGCTCGAACGAAAATCAACCAACAACCGAGTCTGTAAACGTTGCTCCGTTTGCTTTATTTCGAGCAGAATAGTTTTATTTTCGAATAAACCATAGCGGTCGCTGATTAAACCGTCGTTTTAGAGGAGTCGTTGCCAATCGTGTGTTTATTATTACCACTTGACCGTCGGTAGAATGTTATTTTAATTAACTGTTATTCGTCCGATTCGTCGAGTACGCGAGCAGTATCCTTTCACCGCGTCAGAAACGTTTAATAACATTATTAATTCATTTTCCAAGCAGTGCGAGGTGAAACATTTTTCCGTTCGGTTCCCCTCGCGTTTCGAACTTGTTAGACTC